ATATATTATTTTAATAATGTTGATATAATATGCTTAAATGAAATACCGTTATATGTAGCATTATTATTAAAATTATTATAATTGAAATTATTATTAAAATCATTATTGTTAAAATTATATATTATTTATTAGACAAACAACTGAATAGTACTTAGCATGCAAGCAGTTTCTAAAAAGCTGGTGTGTACAGTACACGTGTTTCAGTAACACAGAATAGTGTATACATTTTTATGCTAATAATATGTTATGTAAATAATATGTTTAATCTCAGTCCAGGAGCAACAGAGAAGTACGACTTTATCTACAAAATTTACCAAGTGATGCTAAATTGTGAAAACATTTTTTGTCCAATTTCTCAAGTAAGGTGGTACATTTTTGTGTTTCTAAACAAAATCTGTCTTTCTCAATATTTCAGGTACTAACTAGACCCAAGATGTGACCCCATATGTTTACAAATTCTTTAGAAAAACACCAGAATAATAATCAGGACATAAAAACTATCCCACCATGCACCCCTCCTCTCGTCCCTCTGTGCCCCCACGTTACCGCAGGTTTGTCAATAGGCGTACGGAGGTAAAACCAAGCCAAGGGGCTAAGAGGGAGGACAAAAACATGAACACAGCATCTTCATCCCCTCGTTGTGGCACTCGGGGACCACCTGAGTCTTCCAGGTTGAAGGGCCCCAGTCAAGGTGCACGAGCCCCAGTGGTTCAATCCAAACTGGTGCGGCCACAGAAGAATGGTGCTAACGCAATACCAGCAATCTCAAAACCAAAAAGTGGACACACTGTATCAAACCTAGTCTCAGCTGTGGATCCAAACTGCAATGAGCCCAGCCTACCTTGTCTGTGTTGTGATGGCCATTCACCTCAGGATAGCAACAGCCTTTTTAATCACAACCATAACAATAATAACACTGTAAACATCAGGCAACAAATGAAGCTGCCACCACCACCTCCACAGAAGGAATTGGCAGTTCCAAAACAAGACATCAAAGAAGATGAGTGTACGCCAGAAGTAAAGCAACCTCATGTCATTCCAGTGGAGGAGAGAGAGGAGGACAATGGCAGTGTGGATGAAAAAGAGGGTGATCAGCTCAAAAATGATGACTGTAGTGTAAATGTGAATGTTAATGTTGATGAGAATGGCAATGGAAATTGTAATGGTGAAGATGATGAAGATGATGACGACGAAGATGATGATACTCTTGTCCCTTCTTGCTGCAACTGTCCAAAATCCTTGCTGGACTTCTCCCTCACATCTTCTACCTCATCTTCATCCACATCCATCAGCAGCTGCTCAGATCTGGAGTGTGACTGTCCTGATACATTTTCATTGTCATCCCAGGACCAAGAGGCCACTGAATGCTATCCATCATCTCATTCCCCGGTCTCCAACTGCCCTGCCTTTCAGTCCAATGCTTTACCATTGGATCTCAACACTTCTGCAAGATCGCCTTGCTCTTCTGATGAAGGCTATCCCTCAGCCCCTTGCTCTCCATCCTCTGACTATGTAGACAGCAAGGGATCAGAAGAAGGAAAATGTATTAAAGTGGATCTCCTCCA